TAGGTTTGCTGTTTTTAGTCTTACCGCTCTTCAACCGATCTGTCTGACATAGTAGGACCTTGAGTAACGATTGTTCCAGCCAGTATAACTCGATTGGTTCGTTACGATAGACAAGCCCGACCACCACATCAAGGTAGCAAGAACGGTAGGGAACTGAAGAGAATGTGTAAAATAAATAAATTTATTTTATTTCATTATTATTGGTATTTTTAATTCATTGAGAATGGTGGGAAAAAACTAAGCACTTATATATTGAATAATTGGTCTGTTAATGATGATTGTCTAACTTATACTTTCATCTTTCTCATAAATACTTTTGTTAACTTTGTATGACAAATGGAACTATTCAAACTATTGTATTGACTAGGAATTCCTGAAACAGTACAATCTAAGACAATTAGAACTAGGTGAACACAAACGAACGTATTGTATTTAGAATTCGAGATCAAGTTGGTCATCAAGTAGTTCATACAAACATCACACTGACAAAAATTAATCGGAGTTTCAAATATTTAAAAATAATTTCATGGTACAAAATTTATTTTACCTTAATTAAAATAAAACTTAAATTCGAAAAAATAGATGTATAACTAAGCAAGCATGACAACTGGAAAATACAATGAATCAGATTGTAACTGATTGCTTTCTTCTTCTCGGTTATATTCAAATGAATAAATTTGGATTCTCAGAAAGGAATTTTGTGGAGATTATAGTAATTTAATAGTTGATTTCATGAATCGATTAGGACTAGACCACCTTGGGAAACCTGAAAGCACTAGACAGCCGTTTCGTTCTAGTGCAAGACTCTTCCGCTCGCGGGGTTCGAACCAAGAACCTTCATTCCTAGATGCCAGATCAGTGGCCTAGAAGTTAAGCGCTCGCGCGAGAGACCAGGGTTCGAATCTCGCGAGGTAGGATCGTGGATGAGCACTGCTGAAGAGTCTCACATTAGGACGAAACGGCCATCTAGTGCTTTCAGGTCTTCCAAGGTAGTCTAACTTTATTCGCCTCATGAATTCAGCTATGAAATTATTTTGAATTATTAACATAATTTGAAATTTTTATTCAAAAGAATTATTCATCAGTATTTATTCATCATGAAGACTAGTTCTAGTATATAATATAATGAACGGGATATTGAACTCCCTATTTTATTGTGATGGAAGAATGTTAGTGTTGTTCAGAGTTTAGACTGTTCATAATGAGAATAATTTTGATCTTCATGTGAACTGGCAAGTAATAATTTGAACCGCAAAATGGTAAAATAGCTCTTGAAATGTTGTCATTGTAAATGCTAGTAGATGATGAATACCAACATATTATGAGATATTCAGTATATATACTCATATGTTATAAGGTCATAAAAAACTACGAATGATTTTATCAGTAATCTTTTAAATTCAGAAAAAATAAGAAAGAATGAAGTTTTAATTAAATATTATGCGCACTACTGAGGAGTCCCACAATAAGACGAAACGGCCGTCCAGTGCTTCCAGGTTTTCCATGATGGTCTAGCTTCAATTGACTCATGATCTCAACTACTGAAATACTATGCAGTTACATAAAGTGAATAACACTTATTGTTATAAGTAAGGAAAGATTTTTATTACACTATTTTAGATATGCTGAACTCAATTTGATCGGTCTCTTCTGTTATATACGCTCCATGAATAGGTGGCTTAGTGTTGGTTGAAATAAGTACAGAACAGAAGGGACTATGCTTTACTAATTCCGCGTTTAGTCACAATTCGAAAGAATGACAGTTTTGCTAACATAGGTAATATCGATAAAATTCCCTGGAATTTGCTATATTCGAACAGATACTGATGAATTCAACTGCTGAGTATAAATAACTTAAAAATTACACATTATACTACGGTAATAACTACTGTTAATAATAGTATTGCGATTAATTAGTAATCGCAATCAACTTATTACTTTTTCAATGGGTTACTGACTAGAGTAACTCAGTTACGTAATAAATATTGCCCGATGTTTTTAATCGAAAATATCCTGGTTTGATATTCAATATAATCATTCACAATAAGATCTAGGTGTACTCGGTTGCCAGATTCCAAATAGAATGAGATGTAAAATCTAGATTACATCAATGCTGAATAACGAATTGTTATCCCTTAATGATCATATTGGTTCCACTGAAAATTCATCTTCTAGGGATTAGTAGATATTAGTAAACTTCACTTACATTATAGTGTACCAATTAACTTTTTTCAACATTGAAAACATCGCTTCTCATGAATTATCATTTTTATCTCAAAAACAAAAACAGTTTAGAGCTAGACGTTTTGGATTAAAATTTAAGTGAACTTAGATTCACTATTAAATATTGACACTTGAAATAATACATATACAATATCATTTAACTGGTTATAAATTGTAGCTAGACCACCATAGAAAACCTTGAAGAACTGAAGGGCCGTTTCGTCCCATTGTGGGACTCCTCAGCAATGCACATCCACAATCCTGCCTTGAGAGATTCAAACTATAAAATTTACTATAATATCCACAAAACCCCTACTGATTATAAATGATTGAATTAGACTTGAAAAATTTGTTCTATTTAACTTTGAAACCCATATATATATATATATATATATATATATATATAATGTCCAGTATTTATATAACTCATGTATTAACCATTTTATCTGTCGTGTATCTAAGTGTGACTGGATATCCAATTGAATAATATTGTAAATTTAATTGTATGGAATAAGTTTAATTTGATTGAAATCAGAATAAACAAATTTTAGAAAGTTGTTTATCTGAACAATATGATTTGTTCAAATAAATAGGTTTTTAGATCAAATTTTTATGTGACAGAATTGAGAAAAACCAAAAAAAAAACATTGACTAGATAAGTGGTCTGTGTTTATTGATTTATTTTAATTATTTTCTAATTATCAGTATAACACCGTTGAATGCCATCTCAGCGGTTTAGAGGTTAAGCGACCGCGCTTGAGACTGAAGGACCTGGGTGTGAATCCCGCCAGCGGGGTCGTGAGTGCGCCTTGCTGAGGGGTCCCACAATAGAACGAGATGGCCGTCCAGTGCTTCTAGACTTTTAATAGTGGTCTAACATTGATCGGTTCATGATCTCAATCAATATTTTCTAATTATCAATAAAGTAGCAAGAAATGAACGGTACAAAATGAAGAAAATGGAATAAACACTGCAGTTATAGAAGAAAAAAGGAAACTACAAACATAGAATAACAAGATATAATTAAATCCCTTCTAACCCATAAGAAAATGGGATTGAAAATCAAGGACAATTGAAGAGCTTTATAGGCAGGTCGCTAACCTGTTGTAGTTCGAATTTTTAACTCGAATCAATTTTCATTAGTATGGGAATGTAGAGATTGTTGAATGTCACTTAGATCAAAAACGGATCTTAGTTAGAAAACAGTCTGTTGAAAATAAATTATTAATACATTTAATTATAGACATTCCTTAATTAATTTCATATTTCAGAAGGTAAATAGTAGTAATATAGTACTTATGAATATTGTTCTCTTCAATGGGTTGGATGGTTCCATTAAAATGAATATATTTTGAAAGAAATATTAAATTTGACATTATACCCGCTCCCATAGCTTAAAACCTTTTCAGTACGAAACAAATCTGGTTAAATGTCTCGAACTATGACGTTTAGACGATGATCTATTGATAGTAAATATCAACACTATGATGCGTGTAGACAAGTACGGAATAAGTCAAAATATGACTCCTGGATTCTATTTCCATCTACCGAAGCGGTTGGAACATGCATTACGGATTCTCAACAATCAACTACTTCAATGGGAAGTGTTTTCTGATACCAGAGTCGATTGGAAGGAAGCTAGGGGTGTTGATGTATGGAAAGGAAAAATAAAGCGATGACAAACAGTGGAAAATACTTTTGGGACACCATTTTTTAGTTTAATTCAAAGTCTGTAAAGTACTAACATTTAGTTTGTCCTCCCTGTTTTATTTGTTGAACTATAAATTTCCATTTAATTTATTAGTTACTGTCAAATTACTTTTTCCTCTAAAATTACTGTAATTTAAACGTGACGTTTTGATTCCATTTTCCTACTCTAATGCCCGACTAATTTTGTTGTATAATATGGCAACTTAAACTGACTCATATATGAAACAGGTTTTACTTTACCTATGATTGATCAACTGGATTTTAATACTAAACTCTACTCAAAATATCATTATAAGCTAAGATGGATAGAGGTTAGCAGTGGAATCCAGGACAAGCGTTTCATTGTATTTGGGACTCGTCAGCTAGATGTACCTGCACCTCAGAGTTGATGTTCACTCTGGGACTGGAACCCATTACCGTCCGCATCAAACGCCATCGCATTAACTACTTTGCTTATAATGCTTGTAAATTAAAGCAATATAGAGGCAATACGCGCAGTATGCATATATGCCAATAAGAGACTGATCAATTCCAATATTAAACATCAATCGGAAGATTCAGGTAAAACAATATCAAGTGGATTGTGGAGAAGATTTGTAGCTCAAGTAGATGATTTAAACGGAGTTTTGTTCTCTGAGCTGGATAGTTTGTTTGCGGAGCTTTCATCGTTCGCCTGATTGGTCAACCAATCAGGAAAATTGTGCACAGACATAGGAACAAAATTCCAACCAATATGTGATGCAACCAAAACAAAGAAACAAACAAAGTAAACAATAAGAACCAGTCAACATCAAGGTGTACAGGGCAAGCTATGAACCACATGTGGAGAAACTCTAACACTTCTACTTGAAGTTTTTGCTGATAATGTCGTTCAGAAGAATAATGAAAGCTCCATGACCAAATCATCCAGCTCAGAGAACAAAACTTCATCAATACCAAGTAGATATTTTCGTTATGTTTATAGATTATCTAAACTCAGATTTATGTATATTTATCATTTATTTTTTTTCCGTTTAAGCATAGTAATTTTATCAAGAATTATACATTTCCATTTCCTTTGTATTTAGGCTGATGTGAATATAAGTTATGTAATAAGAAATTATCAAAATCCTTATAATTTGGATAGCAGATTAAGAAAATGTGAAGCATTAAATGTTTTCGGTGATCATTGTGATCCATTTTTTCATTTTGCTGCTTATACATCAACTGAAAAGTAAGTTAAATAATTCGATTATTATCTAAGAAATTGCTAAATCATAATTATTTCTTCGAAGATATATCAATTTAACAGTAGATAAATTTCATTTGAATTCATAATCATCGGTGTATGAAGTAATATAATACAACTTATATTCGACTGTAATTAACAAACGATGTGAATTGGGAAAGATATATGTCTCACTGATTGAAATCATGAGTCAATTGAAGGTTTTCCATGGTGGTCTAGCTTCAATTGACTCATGATTTCAATCAGTGAAAGATGTATATGTAGATTAAGAAAGAAATAAACACAAAGCTTTCTCTGTTTTATATCAAGTTATAAACAATCTACCTAAAGAAACTAGATTATGGCTACTCTATATAGCTTCAGCTATATAGATCAACTCCAGAATAGGTATATTCAGTCTCTATGTTTACCTTGGTCCACGACTGGATCACCAGATATTTAAACTGGACATTATAAACGCTTATCCCCCTTGCAATTCATTTTGTGTTTGTATCTTTCTTAATCTACACATTCATCTCCCCCAAATTACATGACTTCTTTTATTATTGTAATTATCATGACTACACCTCCCTTACTGAATAGTATATTCACAAGTTATTATCACTGTTTTCATCATCACTATTATTTTCATTACCTCGACTAACAAGACGAAATTCTCCTACTATGCATTTTATTTACACGATTACTATTATATTGATTATAACTTGACCCTTTACTACGATTTATTCTGGCGTTTATTAAATGACCTTTCTAATTCACAAGTAACAATTTTAAATTATTAATGTCGTAATAAATCTAAAAGTACACCATTTTTAACATAAAACATTGTCAAATACATTAATTTCAATTGTTGAGATCATGAGTCAATTGAAGCTACGCCACCATGAAAAACCTGGAAGCACTGGACGGCCGTTTCGTCCTATTGTGGGACTACTCAGCAGTACGCATCCACGATCCCACATGATGGACTCGAACCCAGAACTTTCGACCTCTAGATCACTGAGCCAGTATCCAAAGGTGTTAATGTCTAACTTCGATCGATCCATGATCTTGCTCAACCATCTATCCATCCATTGTCTGAGGTGGATACATGTCTCTACCCGACATGAATTGGATTGCACTGGTCACGACCTCTCACTAGAACTCCAGGAAATCCATCTCGATGCCTGTCACTATTGAGCACACGATGATTATTAAAAGAATGAGGGTTTATTGAAATTGTATTAATTTTTATAGTTGAATTCGTGAATTCAACTATTAGAATTCATTAATACATGCCTTATTTTTGGCCTTTGTAAAATATCACAATAATTATGGATTGTAAAGCCTAATGATGAAGTTGTTGAAAACAATTGTTCACTCAAATATTCTTTATTTTGGAATATTCTGTGGGGGGATTTTTAAACTGAACATTTAGATAAAATAAACTGGTCAAAATTATCACTTAATTATATGTGATCCAGCGGTTCAAATCTTCAACTTTCACCAATAACATGCGTTACATAGTAACTGGATATTAAGTTTTAAACTTAGATAAATAATCTAAATTATCAATCAATAGAGATCGATTGGCATGTAAAATTTTCATAGTAACCACATAATCGATCATTAATACGTTAAATGACTTTTTGGGTAATACAATGTAAAACGTAAAGATTCCTTTGTGTGTTGTTATACATTTGAATATGTTTGTCAGTAAATTATTCACATGAATAGCTTTAGAGCAGTTAAAAGTGTCATTGTTTTTCTAGCTTGTTTTTATTCTTTGTTTCATGTGTGATTCGATGTTAAAAGTCTGGTAGTTTACTTGCACAGTAATACCTTGAAGTGACTGGGAGATGGAGAAAGGAATATTTGATCTGATTTATAGTGAGTTTGAATGGCTAATAATTAATTGTATTCTATCGGATGATCAAAATTGAAGATTCTAGCTAATGAATATAACTTCAGTTCTTTATTTTTTTAAATCGACAGTCTACAGGCGATCATCACTCCTGACACAGTAAAAGTTCCAGAAATTTTATGCTTATTTGTTGACATTGAAAGAAACGACACGATAGTAAACTGAATTTTAATATTTATGCTCAATGCAGATTTTCAGTATGTGAAGTAGACTATACTGATTTCTCTCGGCATTTGGATATTGTAGGATACTTTGATTTTTCACATCAAAATGCCTCAATGCAATCTCTGTAATTGTGAAGCATACAATGTATATTAATGAATATTAATCTAACGTTCGAATCTTAAAGATTCACTGAGATAGCTATTTCTGCTACTCCAGTTCAGATGCATTTCTTTCTATCCCCTATCTTTCATTTGCATCAACAGACGTTTGAAATATACGTTCCTTAAACACTTTCGTGTTCCACCTCTTACATTTACATTACTATCAACGTTATACGTCGACAAAATATGTACGAGGTAAATAAGACATATATTTCACTTAGTATCAATATCATGATACAGGATTCATACAATGGGCTGGGCACCAACTACTCATTTAGACTGATACTACAATACATTGATGCACAGTAATGAGAATATAAATTCCATTGAATATATGATACCAAATTTGGGATCATATCTGCCTTGTTCTGTATTTTTTGAAATTGTGAATATTATACTACTCATAGTTATTAACGAAATGTAAAAAAACCCCGGCAAATTTAATTTGTTAAAACAGTGTTTTGATTAATCTACTGTGTTTCTTTACATCATTTAATCAATATGAACAATAACAAAAATACACAATATTAATTATTTCTATAATTTGTGAGAAAAATGTAACTGTTTCGATCCTAAATAGGTTGTTTTACCCTTAAATGGTGGGTGGAGGTAGTCGACAGGAAACCCTGGACCGGGGTTTCGTGATACTTGACACTTGTCAGCAAGGTGTACCTGTAATCTTGAGGGAACTGTTGCTCCTTGATGGGTTCGATCCCGTGTCACCCAGCTTCACAGTCAGAGACTCTACCACTGAGCTGTCCGGACCGTGACTGACCTCCTGTAGGACTGAGATGTAATCACAATTGATTGATCATTGGGTGGTGATCAATGTCATGTGTGTCAAGTCCCTACTAGTGCAGATCGAATGCTATCGACCATGATGCAGCGTGGCCACCAGTCTAGGTGACTAGACACTGCGTGCACTATGTTGTGATTAGATGGTGGTTGGAAGTAGTCGACAGGAAACCCTGGTCCTGGGTTTCGTGCTATTTTTACCCATTTGTATAGACTGAATTAATTCGAATGCATATTGTAGGGTGGTACTGAAAACATTGAAATAATTATGCCTGCTTAATTACTCTGATGGTATATGACAGTAACTGTTATTTTGATATCAGTAATTCACACCACACATTTATAACCTTGAGTGTTCTTTCGATGGGAACATTCTGTTGATAAACTTTAGTGAGGGAAATGCACAAATTTTCAGTTTAATTACCAGCTATAAATCCTAACACTGCGTGAACGAACAAATATACTTTAAATAATTGGTTTAGACTGTAGTGACATTGCAATTAAGTTGAAGTATAATTTTCATTAATAGTTCCTGTTAAGCTTACAAATCGTTAGAAACTTCTTCACAAGCGGTGGACAACAAAATGACTGATTAAAAGTATTATCTTCATTTGTATTACGTTTGATACGTGGTTACGGCTAATATGACATATGACCTAGGGATTTAAGCTTGTAGAACCCTATCCCCTAAGTCCTAAATCAAAAAGCAGAAGTAAACAGGAGTAGCGTTTACTGTACTATGTACAAAATTTACAGAAAAATAGATGTATTCATGGTTTAGGATATAGGCTTTAACATCATTATAATCCGGACAATCTGCAAGCAGAGACTTTATACAATGGTCTAGTCAGAGCATCCAATGTAGATATTCTAGAAATTCTACAGGACTATGATTGAATGGAATCTTTGAAGCTCTTTGAGAGCCTCTGGAAACTTCATCGTGCTTACTGTGAGCCTTCCCAAAAATCTCTTTGTTACTTTGTTACTCTTAATAATGAATATCATAAGCCAATTTATGCACATTCTACTAATCAGTGTTTTGGATTCATTTTTGTCATCATACTAATCACTTATCTTTTCAGTTTTGTTTCATTTCACATAAATCTGTCTCATTTTACCCATCAAGAAATGTTTAAGTTAAAGAAATTGGCCATTAAATTGGATGGTGGTACATCCGGCCGATGAGTCCCGAATAGGAAGAAACACGCTTCCTGAATTTCACTGCTAGCCACCAATTCATCTTTTCTTAAAATGATTGTGAATTAATGTTACTATCGAGGTAATCTGCACAGGATGCACATATATTATAAGAGACTGATCAATCCCAATCTTAAACATCAATGGGATGATCTAAACAATCAATATACATGAATTATGTTAGATTTAAATGATACAACTGACCATTTCAATAAGACAGAATGCTTACAATATATGTATTCTTCTCTATGCAGAATTAAGTTAACCGGTTTTGTGAAGAACTGATTGATATTAAAATTAAAAAAAATTCACTGAAAATAAAAAAGTAGAAAAGTGTCCTCTCATCTTAGTATGCGGTTTCTTAACTGTTCGTTCCATAGCTACATGTTCGGTGAAACTCAGGAAGATAAAACATAATTATAATAATGAACACAAGCAACTTGTGAACAGATCTAGATAAAATGCAAATGTCAGAAAACAGTAGATATAAATTCTAATTGAAAAATAACCGAAGATTTTGGAAAGGACATATTGTTTTCAGATGATTAATGAACTTATCTAATTTGGCATTAGGGTTTTAGTAGTTATGATTTATGGTTAATTTGTCTATTGCAATTCCTAATCCTACACGTAATCTCAAACCGAACTCTGAACCCTATGTTTTATTACCCTAATTCTAAACCTAACTTTAAATCAACCCTAATCTCAACCTTAACAAAGATTAAAACAAAATATCACTCCATTTTGTATTTCATTAATCTTATTAACTATCATTTTATTCTGTCATTCAAAGGTTAGTATTTTTCTCAGTATTCTAATGTCTTGTAAGTATTTAATGATGCTTCACTTATCAAAATTAATCATACTGCTGATGATACTCAACATCTAGATTTAATATTTATAGTAAGAACTTGAAGACCTTTTCTTGATTCTGATTGCTCTAACATTACACTTAAACTTAACCCTTGTAGATAAAGGGTGTTGTTTTTCGCTTATCTTCTCATGATTGTATATTAATATAAACTTATTAAATGGTAATAAGAGATTACAAGAGTTAGCATTAAATTATTACTGCTTATAGTGGAGTTCAACTGGGTCTGCTGTGAGATAGTAACTCACTAAAGACAATGGTGGATGTGTCGCTCAATTTCGTGCATTAGTTGAAGTTAGACATGCCGGCTCAGTGGTTTAGACGATAAGCGTTTACTCACAAGACCGAAAATTCTGGGTTCGAATCTCGCGAGGCGAGATCGTGGTTGCTCACTGATGGGGAGTTCCTTACTAGGACGAAACGGCCATCCAGTGTTTCTAGGTTTTCCATGGTGGTCTAGCTTCAATTGACTTATGATATCAACTATTAATATTACTGCTTAACTAATAAAAATTATAATTACTACTTAATACATATCATTCAACAAAATAAAAAGCACAGTATTAAGTGTGTGATATTAGACTATCTTACAGAAATGATTTCAACTTTATTTCAATGGTTTGCATACACATGTCAACTGTTTTTCTCATACATTTTCATTTGATCTACTAGATGGGAGAAACGTTCAACGTTGCGTAAAGAAGCTGGACCATTTGTAAACTCAAAGTATGTCAATCACGTTCTCGACGCGTATGAAATACAGCCAATATTTCCGGTAAGCATTAAAATCAGAATGTTTTTTTAAAGAAGCAAATTGATTAGGAATATTGAGTTAGTTATTTAGATGTTATTTTATGTATTGTGAAGTTAATGTTTATCATGGGCTAAAAACTATAGAATAATGAACTGATTTTTCGTTTTATTTCAAGGATTTGTGACATTATACACTTATTACAACACGTAGGTTTGAACCTACGATCTTCATGGTGGACGTATATCTATTTCTAAGAGCAATCAACAACAGTTATCAATAAATATATAAATCTTAAACAAATTAGTAGCCGAAACTGGAAATAGGGAGTGTATAGATGATTCAATGATTTTATACTGATTTTTTCGTATTTCCTGAGATGATGAGGTTAATTGTCAATATACCTTTAATTTCTGTGACCTGAAGTTATGAATTTGACAAGATCAATATTATTTATTTTTAATCCTTGATAGCAATTCGATTATATATTGTTCAAGCTGAAGCGAGGCCACTTGTTTGATTGACTTGACACCACTCTGGGATTCATTTGACGGATTGCTGTTGAAAGTAATTGATAGGAAGTCCTGAACTTGTAATCCATGTTAGTTAGAACTTTCCAACATGGTGTATCTGTAAACTTGAAGAAGCAAATGACAGAAGTGTTACTGGATCCCCTGATAAATGGAGTCACTTTCACACCGTGAGTAACTAGTTCTAATTATCAAGAACTTCACATAATGTGATGAAATCTAATTACTTCGACTGCGTAACAGTGAATTTTATTGCGATGCTAAGTCGCTTACACTCGTAGTGGCACCATGAGTCGATACGTAAAACTGGATTATTACTAACTAGTATATACATTGACATTGGTCCAGTCAAATTTATATCTATAAATGTCGAGAAAATCAAGCAAATTTTAAGGATTGAACCATTTTAGTTTTTGGTAACTGATCAGTCTGGAAAGAGGCTACTATTGTGTAAAATAGATTCATGACAACATGTTGGTTATAACTGGATGAAAAAGCTACACACTCCATGTGGTGCATTATTTTACTAAAAATTTCAAATACATCTTATTGATGATTACCAATTATATAAGAATCTTTATTCAAGGCATTCTGCTAATCACCCTCAGTCTCCTTAAAACTAAAATCTGACTGGGAAAATTCCGAAATCGTGAATATTGACGAAATCAGTAGACCATGGAATTTTTACATACTTAGAACACAGGTCATTCACCAGTGAGTAAATATATGAAATTATTTTAATATGAACTGAGATGAATGACAGTCAGTTAACAAGTCAGAATGTAAAAAAGTAATCAAAATAAATCTACAAACAACTACAGCGACGTTATCATGAAACATCATTTACAGTTTACATCTACTAGACGAACTGATAGCCACCGTATGAGTATAGGATAAGGATAAGCTTAAAACAAGTGCGATAAATTTTCAGGCAGTTCCTAGCCAATGAAACAATAATTTTTACATACGTACAGTTATGAAAATAATATTTTGATCAACTGTAGGAAGAAAATGACATTTTATGAAACTGTTTACCTCATTGTGCATCTTAGCTGCACTTCCTAGATCATTAATATTTACAGTTAACATCTCAAATCTACCTACTAAATGAAGATCATCAGCAAGGCTAGGACAAATGTCTTTGCATATCGAAAACATCTTGGTGGCTGTTTTCTTCTTGTTATTTTCATATTTAAATAGGTAGCAACAAGATCTGCAGATCTGGACACTAATATGGAGAAAATTTTATTCTTCTTATGGACTTTCGAACAACAAAAGCAGGGGTCTTTCTCATAAGTGAGACGTAAAAACCCGAACTTATGACTCTTAAACTATCTAGATACTGTGTAAAAGCCTCCTATCAGCCGAACAAATATTTAGGATTCATAGCCGCTAGAAGTAGTTTGTCTATACTACTAGATAAAGAATTTATTATGAAACAAACCTTCTTGTCTCTTGAGTTGTTGGTCTCTGAATTTCGCATACATTATTACACGTAAAAGTCATTTGGATTTTGATGATTGTCTTATACTATGAAATAGAAGAAAGATATATTCTTACAAGTCTCTAGCTGTTTCAAGAGGTTTGCTTCCATCGAAAATCCTAGACCAACAAATATCTTTTTTAAAATCATATCAGCTTCATTACTGGAAATAAACCTGGTAGGCAACAACACCTACTAAAACTGATAATGATAAACCAGATCCACTACTTTTGTAGGTCCCGTTAGAATTACGCTTTTGGTTGTTGGGAGAAGAATACATGTGAATTATGAGGGGAAGGAGTATTTAAAATAAATTTCACACAATCTACAAAGAAACAATTACCCACTCGTTAAGCTCAGTACCATAATTTTCACATTATGGTAGGAGAAAGCAATTGATCATAGCCATTTAACCATTCTATCCACTTTGGAAAGATTATATCCAATGCTTGTTATAAGGGAAAATTAAATTTTGCATAAAAACGTAATAGTTGCATCCATGATTTTGACTCACTCGTTCCCCATTCAATATACTTTTAACATTAACCACTTAAGAATAAACACTAACATTACTTTAAGCAAAGATGGATAGTGGATAACAGTAGAACCCAGAAAGCACTTCATCCTGTTTGGGACTCTTTAGTTGGATGCACCTGCATCCCAGAAATGATGTTCAGTGCGGGACACTAGAACTCTGCTTAAAATGATTATGAATTACTGTCAATATCGAGGTAAATTGCATAGGATATAGATATCCTAAAAGTGAATGATCAATCACAATCCTAAATGTCAATGGGAATATCCAAACAACCAAATATACATATAATTCTGTATATCAGTCAGTCAGTTATCTACAATGTAGGATCAAGCACATATATACATCGGTCCAAGTTGCCCTACCTGATTAGAAAAACAAAATGAACATCAAATTCATAGAAACGATTACTTTAATCGCATAAGAAATGACTGTATATAAGGACACTATAAAGCAAGAAAGAATTAGTTCGGTATAATGTAAGACATAAAGCAATTTTAATTTCACGGTTTAAAGAATGACAAAGAGTGTATGCACCTACGCCATTTTGAATAACTCAAAGTTTCCAATCATTAGTTAAGATAGTTGTACGAACCTCAACAAAGTAGTCTGTATCTACTAACATGACTCAGACCAGAAGTTAATGATTTCAACAATTGATACCACGTTTTTGGTTTGAATCAGTATATATATGAGAATTAGTACTTTGCAAAGTTTATTCTGATAATATCTTACATTAAAAATTAATTCAAGTTTTAAAGCCTATTTCTTATTATATCACATTGTTCAATTGTTCAATTGGTAGTGTAATATGGTTTATTATTACTTTTTTTCTACAGGAATATACACTTCAATAGATCAAATATCAACCATCAATTTTAAGGGCATAGTTACATGTGATATTGTCTGTTACTATAAGATGATTTCTCTTTTTTTTTTTCATTTTCAACCACACAACATATAACAGCTATTTATTTGATTTATAAATCAAATTAGAATTGGTTACTTGTTTCTAAGTTGATTAATCAATGATAATCTTTTATTCGTTTTTATTTTATTGTTCGCTTTTATCACATGATTGTTGATTCGCTATGTAAATAGGATAGAAACTTTAATCAAAAATATAGTTTTTATGATCTTGTCATTTTACAATCAAAATTGACAGATAATTAATTAGTATCAGAAGGGGTTTTGTGGAGATTGTAGTAATTTCAATAGTTGAGATCATGAGTCCATTGAAGCTAGATTACCACGGTGGATGTGTTGCTCAATTTCGTGGATTTGTTGAAGTTAAACATTAACACTGTTGGATGCCGGTTCAGTAGTCAAGTGGTTGAGCGCTCGCGAGCGAGACTGATAGATTCTGGGTTCGAACCCAGTGAGCGGGTTCGTGGATGCGCACTACTGAGGAGTCCCGTACTAGAAAGAAATGGCTGTCCAGTGCTTCTAGGTTTTCTATGGTGGTCTAGCTTCAATTGACTCATGATCTCAACTATTGAGACAATTGATATGAAGTTTTATTTTGTCTTCATAGATTTTGTTCTTTGCAATTGTAATGTATAGCTACCTATATACATATATATCTATCTGTACGTGTATATCTTTAAGGTGTTTTATCAAAGGGATAGTCTTCTGCATCACAAATATTTTAAATACGAATGAATTGGGAAGTAAATGAAGCTAGGATTCGTTTTTTTGTTGTTTCAACTAATTAAAAAAGATGAAGAGATCAATTCAACTAGTATACATATCCATGATTTCACCAATAACTACATGAATTGAACAACAGATGATTTTTTGTGATGAAACGTTGGGAAATTTGTTAGTGAACTCAAAATATTTTAATGTATGTTTATGAAGATAAGATATTGAAGAGAAAAGTTCTAACCAAATAGATAATTAAGTATGGCTAAGGTCTTGAAGACTGTGAAGGTGATTCAAGGGTAGGAGGAAATTCGATTGAATGTACCAAACTTATATGATCTCTTGTTTTTACTTATTCCAGTTACATTGTATAACTCTTGTTTAACTAAAAATAGAAAAATCATTGGTGTACAGTATTAACTAAAACGATGAGGTAGCTGAATTGTCTGAATTCCGGAGACTTCCAGGGATATTTAGAAAAATAAAAACAGAAATTGGATATGTGTCTTGATCCAAAAAGTAAATTGTTTGATGAGGTTAAGATTAGTGTGTTATAAAGTTTTAAGAATTTTTACAACCTCAGTTTTTATGTTTATCAAACAGATAAATCCAATTGAAGGTTACAACCTGCATCTTATAAAAATTAAACTAACCAAGTTTGTTTATGGCATTAATTCATCTATTCAGCATCTTTTAAAACAACTCTAGTATAATGTTCTGTTTTGAATGAAATAAATTAACTGTTGAGTTTAACTTCATATCACAAATTTATCGTCAACTCACTCATTATTACTGTAAATTATGGCTACTTGAGCATTCACTTTTCTACTATTACCCATTTTAATTAGGATTTAGAACAATCTAAAATCAATAATCACCCGTGAACTTAATTTCATTAAGATATTACTAACCTACATATAACTCATGTGGATATTATAGTATTTTAATAATTGAATTCATTATTCAATTGAAACTAGACCACCATGGAAAACCTAAAAGCACTGGACAGCCATTTCGTTCTAGTATGGACTCCTCAGCAGTGCGCATCCACGAACCCGCTCACCAGATTCGAAACCAGGATTAATCAGTCTCGCGCGAGAACGCTTATCCTCTAGATCATTGGGCCGGCATCCAACAGTGTTATTGTTTAACTTCAACCAATCCACTAAATTGCGCCACCGTACACCATTGTCTTCAGTGAATTATTATCTCACAACAGACCTGGTTGAATTTCACTGGTCACTGCTTCTCACTAGAACTACAGTTAATACCTCTTGAAGCCAGTCAATAAATATTTTACAATTTAAGCTGATTGACTCAGGAAGTGTTTTCATTATTTTTAACTCCCGAAAAAATTTTAACGATATGATTAATACTATCTACACACTGTAGTAATACTAATGTGTGCAAATGTTTTTTACCAAAAAATAGTAATTTTTGGAAAGAATACAAGCTTGGTTAATGTGTGATCAGTGTTTTCTTTTTAAAGTAAAATACATATTTACGACACCATAATTCTACGACAGTTGATTGACGGACTACAGAAATATCTTAGTGTGAAACTTATCTCCAATCAAGGAAGTCATATAAACAAGTATATACTTAACTAATTTTATTAAAAAATTTTCCAAAAACATGATCCTAGTTGAAATCTTTTCAAAGTCCCTCCCTTTCAAAAAAAGAAACGCTTCAATAAAGTTTGTTTCATGAAACATAATACTAAATCTGTCTTTTTACTTTCAACTATATTAGGATTCCATAGAAATTGAACTTGACATTCATGATAGTGATATAGATGAAGATCAACGGATAGCTCTATTTAGAAGAACAGTTCCTCTGGAAACTAAAGGAAAACATGAATTTCGGATGGGTGTTGATGTCAAGTAAGTATGGAGCTTTATTTAGTTTTTAGTTTTGTGTAGATTCAATTTAAAGTAACTACTTTGGTTTTTCACTAAATCTTTGGAAAACACCCATAAATGACTTCTGTAAACTAGAAATTTAATCACTAACAAAAATAATACTTTTCTGAAATAATACTTACAAATTATATAACTAGTCATCAGGTGTAACCTGTTTCCCTAATATAATGACCAAGTGCTATCTCACAGCTATACAACAAATGAATGGTAAGTTACATGGGTTAGTATAATTAAATAAATCATTTATCTAATCAATTCTGTTAACTACACGTTTCTGTTAATCTCAAAACATATAAAAATGCATCATGTGTAGACAGTATAATTCCTCCCTGTTCATTTTAAGCTTACTACTACTGAGTAGTGTCTGAATTGAACAGCAGATTTTAACAAGGCTATATCTACAAGAGATTAGCATACTAGTTATAGTTATCTACAACGTAAAAGACCATTATTAATCGATTATACACTTGTTTTAGAGATATCTACCATGTTTAATATGCTTTATGATGTATTGTGGAATAGGTTCAGGGATACAGACACAAACTCTCCCTTCTATTCCAATGTATGTGCTTTGGTACGTACATGTACATTGTTTTATGGTCGTCTTTTGACAGTATTTGACGTGATAAAGTTTTACTAGATATGAGAAGAAAAGGCTAGTGATAACTTTATTTTCCTTGGATAGTGAGAAATGGTCGATTTTCAATATAATCCTTAAACATCGTATACAGTTCGTCCTGATAACCGTCACTAGATAATGCTCCAACGGTGTATTAATCGGAAGGCAAATACGAAGTGTTGATCACGTTTATTATTGTACCACGCACAAATAACCAAAATTACAGGTACATTGAGTAAGCATGATAGAGCAGTGCCGAAAAGCTAGCAAGTAAGCCAGTGAGCGTGAGAGTCGAACGAGCGAATCAGCGAGTGAATGAACAAGATTAAAATGTACATATATACACAAAGGGAAATGAATGAATCATCGAATCAATTAAGCGACTAATAGTAAGGCTAGTATGGCAGTAAGTAATCCTCATACAAGTGTAACAATAATAAAGTTACAATGATATAGGATAAGTTGTTATTAAGCATTAAATAAGTTAATAAAAGGACTTAACCAAATTAAATGTGAACAAACTCAATCGCACATAAGCTGCTATAAATGGGATCATAGTTTCATTCGTTTTATTCATTTATATATTAATAACACTTACTGATTAGACAGTTACGTTGATTCTTGAAGAAAGGAGTCTTAGTTATAAAAATACACATTAACTTTAGGGAGTTCTGTCTAATGTAAACATGATAGGTGCAAGCTTTATTTTAAACACTTGATACATGAATAATATCATGATATTGTACTTTATATATAGCTTACTTAAATCAGGTAAACTAAATAGGAACTTATTCTCAACACAGTAAGTGATGGTTTATTGTCTAATGAATATCTTGAACAGAAAAACATAAGAAAGTGTTCATAGAGACGAATAATATTACCAATTATATATATACGTATTCCTAAAATAAACTAGTTCAACTTCGTTTATTATTTTTGGAATTTAGGGGAATGTAACGTAACATCTCATTGAAGTCCTACATTAGTATAATAAATTCATTAGGCTATTAATGTTGTTTCACCTTAGAATATTTGAAGTTCATCTATCTTTTCTAATAATCCTATTTCAATTGTTGATATCATGAGTCAATTGAAATTAGACCACCATGGAAAACCTGGAATCACTGGATGGTTGTTTCGTCCTATTGTAGGACTCCTCAGTTTAAAACAACTAAATATTATTCATTTGGTTTTGTTTTGTTCGCATCTTCCCATTGAGTTTTAAGACTGCGATTGATCAGTCTCTTATTGACATATGTGCATACTGTGCGTATGCCCCGACATTGCCTTAATTCATAAGTGTTTATAAACAAAGATGGATAATGGCGAGCAGTGGAATCCAGGACGTGCGTTTCTTCTTATATGGGACTTGTCAACTGGATGTACCTGCATCTCAAAGTTGATGTTCACTCTGGGACCCCATTGCACAAGTAAGTGGCTATCAGGACTCAGTAGCTGAGTGGATAACGCGACGATGTTTGAGACGAATGATACTGGGTTGGAGTCACAAAGTGAGATGCAGGTACATCTAACTGACGAGTCCCTAATAGGACGAAACGCGCGTTCTGGATTCCACTGCTAGCCACTATCCATCTTAAGTAAATATCATGTTTATAAAAACTTTTTTATATAAACTAAGCCCTTGATAAATTCTCACTAAATCACATTCACACATAAAATAAGGTATTATTATTATCCAATAAAAACTCATTAAATCAATCAATCAAACAAACAAACAAAATGTAGCTCACATTATTATTGACATTGTTTAGATTAAAATTAACTAGTTCAATATTCAAAAAAATTTTGTTTATAATGTAATGTATTATGTAATCAAAGGAACCATAAGTATTACATATTTACCTAATAACTTGACAATTGATATTCATCTGTTATGGTTTGATCAATCATAATGTAGATAAAAAGAAACATTATGAACTGATTGAAGTTAGTAATGTAAATCAATAAAGGCACTTATTTTGTGATCTGAAGTATGTGAATCAGATCTTCTGTCAGATCTTGGATACTCACTACTAAGGGGTCTCATACATGGATGAAGCAGTTATCTAGTCCTTTTTATTTGGCTAAATAAAATCATTCTGTGATGTAAGCTATGAAATTCAACAATCTGTCTACAAACTTCCAACAGTAATTAGAGACTAGGTTAAATAAGATAGTTAATGTTATAACTTGTGGTCTGTGCGCCCTGCTAATGTATAACATAACGATACCGCCAGTTAGAGATCAGTGAATCATCGATCGGACCAGTGACGCATAAAACCCGTGCGAGCAGTCTAGAGTATTTATCCGTCCTGCTTCCTGCCTAGTCTAGCCAGTTAAATGAAGAACACCAATCTCAGCCTCTGCAATATTATTTCAAACATACTGGGTTTATATACCAATCAAACAGACCACAACGTACAATAAAATAGGAAACAACACTTGTACAAGGTTTGGCCAAATGTGGCTGTGAATATGGGAGGTAGTGATTAATAGACAGGGCATAATTCAAGAACGGTAAATCGTATAATAATAGTCCAAAGGTAAAAAAAACTCATAATAAGAGAAACATGAATATGTATAGTATAGTTATTTAATAATTATACGATAAAAATATACGCATAGTATTGGTCCATAAATGGATCCCAAAAGTTAACATTCATTGTGCTTATCGGAACATAACAGTTAACAAACAAAAATAGTGATAGCAGACAATATAGTAAAGGTAGGAAAAAAATAGTGTGAAATTCAATGAAATGGTTTGTAAGAACTGGAATGATAATATGAATATTGCATTGATGAAAGAATAGTAATACTTAGAACGTGATTATCTTATCCTTATAAAAGATCTAAACCTATGTGGGTTATCTAATTGATACTCGAATTTGCACCAAAACTATAATAATCAAAGTTTTTGTTAATCAAATCAAGAAGTATGACAGATAGCACCCGTCAGTAGGGAATAGATGTCCCCTGTAATATGAGGACCTACTGCACTCATTAGCAACGATCTCTAACCACAGAATATTCGGTTATAATGTGTAGAACATCCAGCCACTTAGATTGTTGTCAGTCTACATTGTGACTTGCTCCATGAAATCCAATCAACATACCGAAGTAGATAAACACAATATTGGTTACTAGCGGATGGTCAGTTAGTACAATGTTTGAGCATCATCTGTAAGAAACTGAAATAAATACAACAAAATGCGTGATATCAATTAGTTTTCGGTGGTTGACAGCATAATCTACATTCAGCTATCTCATAACTTGTTTCTAGATGTAACCCATGAATGCAAGATTACAGAATATTTACGTAAACTATAAAATTGCCCATTTAGATTACTATGTAATTAGTCTTCAGTTAGCCAGAATCTCAGTTCTATAAATTAAAGATGACCAATCATAAAAATTATCTGACTTTCCCCATAAATTCTTAAAACCATCAATCTAAAATACAAGTCTCTTTCCTTACATTTCAAATGATTTATAACAGAGTTTTTTCTCTGTGTTTATTCTCTGAAGAAGTGCCATACATTAAGTCACAAAGCTTCAAAAAATTTAAAAATCTAATTTTTTTTGCTCATCGGGATCTTACAGATATATCATTTTTATTAAGAGAGTTTCTTTGTATCGAAGGTACATCAGGTGTTATATAAAGGAAATATTGGGGCTGCAGCGAAGCTTCTCTTTAACGCTACGTTAATCCTTCGTCTATCCTCATCCATCTTGCAATAAATGTGAGGAGACTGTATGACACCAGATGTTTCTTAAATCAACCCAAATGGACCCATATGAAGTTACCTCCAAATGTACTTACAAATTCGCATGTACATGTGGAAGTACGTTCATAGAATACACTAAAAGAAGTTTCATCTAATTTCCTTATTTGAAAAAAATATTTTGTTGGATTGTTTGTTTTAGAGTTGAAGCCCATATTGAGATTACTTGTACCAAAGATTATTATGGACAGCGTTGTGAGGTATATTGTACACCTCTATATGATTTATGGAAATGTGATGAAAATACCGGTGCTAGAATATGCAGTAAACCATGTTTACATGGAAAATGTGTTCTCACAAGGTAAATAGTGTCATTTTTTGCTTTAGATAATTCATTAAATTAGATGACTTACTTAATTACTTACTTGCGCCTGTTACTCCTTGTGTAGGGGCATAGGCCGCCCACCAGCACTGTCCATCCAACCCTGTCCTGGGAAATCATTTCCAGCTCCTTCCAGTTGTTATTCATCTTTTCATATCTACTTCTATTTCCCGACGTAATGTGTTCTTTGGCCTACCTCTTTTTCTTTTCCCATCACGATTCCAAGTTAGGGTTTGCTCCGTGATACAGTTTGGTGATTTGAGCAATGTATGTCTTATCCATTTCCATTGTCTTTCCCTAATTTCCTTCTCATTATCCATTGATTAGTTTATATGTTTCACATGTCTTTATAGAGAACATATTATTGAGTATGTTTCTACTCAAGCCATTTATCTGCCAATAGATCAAATGCATTTTATGTCATATTCGAAAGTATTCAATTAAAAAAGAGAACTATTTTAAACTTGGAATTGCCAAACGGCTACCACATTCTGGTTTTGGATACGATTATTAAAATACTTTTAACTAGAATTTATCGATTTTATTCAGCTGGCGCCAAATATTCGACATGAAAACTGACACCAATCTCATCTTGTAAATGAGTATTGCAAACAATCGATAATATCGGTTATTAATAAGGAGAGAAGCTGTGTTCTCATTCTTGTTAGATTTTAGTTCCCTTAATCATCTTGTAAAGAGTAAGAGTAAAAATATCAGTAGAATAGTATGAATTCATTTTATTTCATATGGATCTCGTTAGCTTCTTGCAACCTGTAATACTGAGTAATCATAATTATAAAATGGGTTCAAATTATTTACATGAAAGAGTTAGATTACAATTTGTTAAGAATTCATATAGGTGTAGTATAGAAGTGATTTATATGATAAAATTACTTGTTGTTAATGTTCAGACTTATTCAATTATCAGGTTGCTTTCAATACTGTCATCCTATGAGCTGAACTCCTCGATTTCATTTCTCAATCTTATACAACTAAACTATGTTTAAGAAGCCAGCTGTTAAAGAGAGTTTAATGGATTAGCTTCGAAATAATAACTTACGCTTTGTATATCAGTTGTACTGTTAACCGTTATTCAATAAATCCCAATAGTGTATGAATTCAGAAAGAAAGATGAAACACCGGCTACACAGATCAATAAGCCACAAGTAGACCAAGAGAATTCGTACAGAAAAGCTAACGCAACAGAGCAAATACAGAGGGGAATTAATAGTCGAATCAATGAATAAGATTCAAGCATATATAGAGTCTAATCGCTTAATAATTGTACAACAAAAATATATGTATTATAATTCATAAATATCTCCAGGAAGTCATCATTCAGGTGGAGTTTTTTTATCTGAGCTGGATGGTTTGGTCATGGAGCTTTCATCGTTCTTCTAAACGAAATCATCAGCACAAAATTCAGGTAGAAGTGACGTGTTCGAAATTCTTTACTTATTACTCAAATATTGTCCAGTGTACCTCCATCTTGATTGGCTATTGTCAACCATTAACTTGTCATTATTTACTTCTTTATTTTTATTATATCTCCCATTGGTTTGAATCAACAACGACTTCGGTGACATAAAATTCACAGTGAAAAATGATTCAAACAACAAACTACCGTTTTTAGATGTAATAATCACCAGAGCCAAGACAGGAAAACTGGAAACTCAAGTATATCGGAAGTCGACCCACACAGATCGAGTTCTCAACCACGGTAGCAACAACCCAAGAACTAACAAAATCAACTGCGTACAAGCCTTATTCACGGGGCAATAACACACTGCAACACGCAACGCGGAGAACTAATGAAAAATATCTAAAGAATATCTTCCAAAGAATGGGTACCCAATCAACTCATCAAAAAATATCAATCTAGTGCGTCAGTAGCAACAACATGAAGTACAGAAACTAACAAACAGAGCACCCTACCTGTTATGTCCATTTTTTCCAACCCCCTGTCGCCATTCGTTATATCCTTAGCTTATGCGGTTACCGCGAATACGATTGCCAAATTTAGATATGTAGACTTATATGAGCAACGGATGATGCATACATCTGAACAAACAGCTTGGAGTTACGATTGGTTTTTTCCCCACTAGCTCATTAAATTCAGAACACCAATCTCAGCTTCCTCAATATAAATCACGTATTTCAAACATACTGAGTTTATATACAAACCAAATAGAACACATCACATCATAAATAAAAAATAGAATTTGTACAATATATAGCCAAAAGTGGTTGTGAATGTGGGAGACTGTAATTAATGGACTGGGCATAACTCAACTCGTACAATAATAGTCTATAGGTCAAAATAAAGCTTATTATAAGAGGAATATACAATAAGAATATACGTATAATATCAGTCCACAAATAGATCCCAACAGTTACCTTTTATTATTCTCGTCGGGATATGACACTACTATATATAAAAGACAAACCGGAAATTATAACTAGATTATTGAAGCTTTTTAGAACAAGCGTAGAACACAAACGAAAAAAATCACTCCAATCAATCCTATGAAAACCAAAGGAGGAAATGACAAAAGAAGAAAAATCGAACATCATTTACAAAATAAATTGTTCCAACTGCGAAGAATACTACATTCAACAAAATAGACGCTCCCTTCACCTTTGTTTGTACGAACATCAATTAGACATCAAAAGCCTGGGAGTCATCATTCATTTAGTCTTCTACGGATATAGCATAAGTCACTTTAAACATAACTAATTGTAAAATTAATAGGTTATTTATCATTTACAAAAACTAAAACCCATCCATTCGACTTAATTCTTAACCTTCAAAACAGTTGCATGTAGAAATAATGTTGAACACTCGTAAACAAAGATATTGATATTCACTTAGTATTGTTTTACTTGAATCTTCCTATTGATGTTTAGGAATGCAATTGATCAGTCTCTTATTGGCATATGTGCATACTGTGCATATTACCTCGATATTGCCTTAATTCACAAGCATTATAAACAAAGATGGATAGTGGCTAGCAGTGGAATCTAGGATGTGCGCTTCTTCCTATTTTGGACTCGTCAGCTGGATGTACCTGCACCTCAGAGTTGATGTTCACTCTGAGACTTGAACTACTACCCACTGTCCATCTTTGCTTATAAAGATATTATTTACTTACTTACACCTGTTACTTCTCGTGGAGTATTATAGGCCACCCATTAATACTCTCCATCCATTCCTGTCCTGGGCAATCCCTTTATAAATTTTTGACATTTATCTGAGTTAATCTAATTCAATGAATATTTTAGAATCATTATCAAAAAATAATCTTTTTTTTTCATTATTTCTTATATAATTTTATTAAGTATTAGTGCAATATGTGAATGTACATTAAATTGGCATGGAGAATTTTGTCAAACTCCTATTGAATCTAAAATTATATCAACTATTTTAGCGCCTGATATAAAAACAATTCATGTTGCTAAACCATTACAAATTAATCAATCAATTAGAAATCAAACTAGAAATAATAAAATCAATAAATCATCCATGATGACAACAACAACAACAACCGCAACGACAACAACAGCAACAGCAACAACAACATTTCAATCTAATTCCATAGATAAAATAAAACAAATAGAGATGAGAAAGCATGATGAAACAGTTCAAGTTGTTCAATTGAAATTTGATAATTTACATAATATTCAAAATGAACACCTTAATATTGATCAATCTGATAGTGATGATGATGATGATGATGATACTTTGTTTACTTTAACAACAATAAATACAGTAATAAATTTAAATCAATCCAAGCTATCGAAAATTGATAATAATTCAGAAATAATGAAACAATCTGATGATAACTTGAATCATCTATCTGGTAAGAAATTTTTTTAATATTGAATTTAGCTATTTGATATTCAGTAAATGGAGTAAATCCATTAAGATATTAAATAAGAACGATAGATCCAACGAAGAGTTCTCTATTTGGTGAATTCATTTTCTAAGCTGTACAATTACAAATATATATATACTTATTTTTACAGGATGATAATAATACTGATAATAAACTTCTGTACACATGGTGACAGTGAGGTTAAATAAACAAAGGTATTAAAAAAACATTGTTTTAAACGGGGAAACTAATAATCGTTTGATTGTTAAGAGCTTAAATTTTCCTCAAAAGATAGATAGGGAAGTTATCATTGGGAAAGGATATCTCAACATGATAAAATAAAATGTAATCAGGAGGATCGTAGAAACAGAAACCCGTTGGAGGTAGAAAGTTTAAGGAGAAGACAGAAGGGGAAGCAGATAGCTATAAAGGAAGAAGATTATGAAGAAAATTATAAGACATCAAGTCCATGGTAGAAGAAGAGGTTGTACCAATCTCTTTTATGGACATATAATAATTCTGGTTTTCCCAGATGTATGGCTATTGCTTAGGCAATGCTTAAAAGATGTAATATAATTGTCTTTGGAAGACTTGTACCCTCCTTGTAGATGACTTTGAACTTGGGTTCTGTCTTGATTGAGTGACCTGTATCCACAAGGTGTTCCATTATTGAAATTCTTATTAGGCTATTTTCTCCTCTTTTTAGTCACACCGGATAATGTTCTTAAATTCTTTTCGATAAAGTACTCATCGAACGACCTATATACCTGACTCCACATGAGCAGGTATCTTTGTTTATTTTACCTCACTGTCACCATATCTAACATAAGTTTATTATCATTATCATTGCAATTAGTGTCATCTTGAGAAATAAGTTTATATATTTGCTATTGTATAGCTTTGGAAATCAATTCGCCGAAAAGAGAACTCTTATTATTTTGAGAAGTTAAACATTAATTTTGAATCAATAGTAGTTTAAATCATAATTTTAAAATGTAATATATTCCAACGAGAATGATGATTCGTATGTGTTGGTATCCATTACAGAACATCTTAGTGAAATCTGAGAATCATACAGGAATACTTAATTTGCAGAATGTCAATCAGTTGTCTTAAAGTTGACTGTTTCTTTTGCAAATATCAGTCAATCATCTCAAACTTTAATGTTTCTGCATTTCCATATTATTCGCTTTCTGTTCTCGTTCTCTTTTCTTCGATCTTGTTAAACTTCTGCTGCCATACATTCTATTCCAGACTAGGGTTATATACTACTTATGTCGATATAAGTAGTACACACGACAATACAATTTACCGTTCTTGAGTTATACCCAGTCTATCAATTACTATCTCCCACATTCACAACCACTTTTGGCTAGATCTTGTACAAATGTTACTTCTTATTTTATGGTACGATTTAGTCCGTTTGATTTGCATATAAACCCAGTATGTTTGAAATACATGATTCATATCACGGAGGCTGAGATTGGTGTTCTGGAATCCACAGTCGGGGCTAGGCAGGAAAAAGGATCCTTAAAGGTTCTATACTGCTCGTACGGGTTTATGTGTCACTAGTCAGGTCGATAAATCACTGTTCTCTAATTGGCGGTATCATTACGTTATATGTTAATAGGAAACAAGGCTACAAGTTATAACAAATTGAAACAACCTATTATTCCACTAATTCTCACACTTGAGAAAATGGATTTAAATAATATAGCCTATGTGATATTATATAATTTTTTGTGTTGGGTAAGTTAGTTTTGAGGTTTATATTATTTTTCTATGTATTGCTTTCGTACAATGACTTCGATGTTTACTTTAAATAGTAATGAACATTAAAGATATATTTTTCTTTGAAAAATTTAAATCATTTCATTTGGATTACCTCGTGATTAGTTGGTTGATGCCAGTGAAATTTTTAATTTTATGTACACTTTCATTCCAGGTAACCGTTGTAGTAGATTAACTTCTAAACATGTCATAGATTAAATATATTCTCATTGTTTGACATGTTGAACATCTATAAATCTTTCTATTGATTTCATATTGACCTAAGTACCAAGTCTGTAGAAGTTCCGTTTATCTCTGATTATGAAATTCTACCAATAGAATTATATCTATACTTGTTCAAGTGGGGTGATAAAAATGATGAATTTTTTACCCTTGTTTCCAACTTCAGTATTTTCTTAATAAAGATTGAAATTCTGGTTAGATAACGTGACAATTACACTAAAACCTCATGACTGTAAAGCAATTAACCTATGACTGCTACGGATGGATGTCTCTCATGTCACACCATGACTAAAGAACTCTTCAAAATGGATAAATATTCTGAGATGTTAAGTATCTGGTAGGGGTCATCATGAAAACCTTTTCAACCTAGGCTTCTTGCCTGTTGCAGTTCTCAATCAAGAGTTACCTATAATCCTGGGAGAACTGATGCTCCATGTGAGATTCAAATACACATCACTTTACATCATATTATTAAATATTATCACTAAGCTATTTGATCGACGACTGGTCTCTTATAGGAATGATAAGATATTTACAATTGATTGACTACCAAGCAGCAATCAAAAAAATCCTATCGGTCCAACACTGAAAGATTGAGCAAATATGAAATTGGTGGCTACTCAATGATCAAACCCTTTAATTTGTTAACAGAATATGTAAGCTGATAATATAAAACTCACTATAATATATCTTATTAGATAATAAATATACCATAAATACTAAGTTTCTCTTTTAGATTTATCAAATTTTAATGGAATGCGAATGTGTGATAGGAATGTGTAAAATTATTCTACTGTGAGCTTAGAATCAACTTGTATTGCTTTATTTTAGTTAAAATTCATATAAATTATCGGAAATGATTTTTGTGAAAGTTATAGTAAATTAAAAGTTGCATTCACCCAACTTCGAGACCAAAAGGCAGGATTCAGTAAGGATAGATCGTATACAGACCAAATCGCAACTCTACGGATCATTGTGGAACAATCAATTGAATGCAGTTAGACGATTTAGATTTCTCAGATGATCTGGCTCTTCTCTCGCGCACGCAACATCCGGTTAAAGCGCCGGACATTCGCTTTTGTCCTCTCATTTTCGTAAGCAACACCACCGTCACGAGAAGGCAGTGAGTAGGAATTCCCTGGCAGAGGTTATATACGTGTGGCCATGAGAGAGCATTTCGAGAGGGAGAGAGGACTCTCCTCACTCTCGGCCATACCATGGCATTTGGGGGCTCAGCATCATTAATGAACACGGTGGATCTGATGCGGATGTGAAGGTGTGGATCGGCAAGTCAAGAGCAGCATATCTAAAACTGAAGAATATCTGGAACTCAAAACATCTGTCTGTCAACTAACACCAAAATCAGAATTTTCAATACAAATGTCAAAACAGTTCTACTGTATGGGACGGAAACTTGGACAACTACAAAAGTCATCATCCAGAAAATACAAGCATTTATTAACAGTTGTCTACACAAAATACTTCGGATCCGTTGGTCGGACAATATTATCAACAATCTACTATGGGAGTGAACAAATCAGATCCCAGTGTAGGAATAAATCAGGAAGAAACATTGGAAGTGGATAGGACACACATTGATGAAAGCACTCAACTGTGTCACAAGACAAGCCCTCACATGGAACTCTCAAAGCCAAATGGAGGAGGAGAGGAAGACTAAAGAACACATTACTTCGAGAAATGGAGATAGACATGAGAAGAATGAACAAGAATTGGATGTAACTAGAAAGGAAGTTTTAGGACATAGTGGGTTGGAGTACACTGGTCGACGGCCTATGCTCCGTTGGGAGTAACAGTCGTAAGTAAGTAAGTAAGTAATAGTTGAATTCATGAGTCAATTAATGCTAGACCACCCTGAAAAACCTGGAAACACTGGATGGCCGTTTCGTCCTAGTATGAGTCTGTTGTGATATAGTAACTCACTGAAGGTAATGATGAACTGTAGCTCAATTTCGTGGATTGGTTGAACTGAAACATTATCATTGTTGGATGCTGACTTAATGATCTATAGGTTAAGCTTTCGCGCGCAAGGCCGAAATTCTTGCGTTCGAGGAGTCCCCTACCAGGACGAAACAGTCATCTAGTACTTCCAGGTTTTTCAAGATGGTTTAGTTTTAATTGATTCACGAATTCAAATATTAAAATTCATAAAAGTTTATAAAATGAGAGGAATGACAGTTTAAATCATAGAAAATTTAAATGTTTTAACCATAGACTAAACAAATAGTTTTGACAACTAGCTTATCAACAACAACAACAACAACAGCAAAAACGTGAAAAAAATCAGGGAGAGATAAAAAAAATCTTTTTTTTATATTAAACGAACTAACCTACGAACATTGATTGTTCACAAATTAACCAATTAGAAAATGTATTTAAACAATTTTATTATTTTTATTCAATCCTATCTGAATTGATTTTGATATGAATATCAAAATGTCCAAATGACAGGAAATGATGGGTTCTTGTTCTTTTTTTCTTTTTTTTTCTCCTTTAAATACCTCATAGCAATAAATATCTTATCTATATGTGTATGTTATTGTGTATATTATTCTTGTTTCTATTAGTCTCTTCAGTGCATGTTTACTATGGAGATAATCGAAAGTACTAACACACTCACCACCTGCGGTTACATTCGATATAAAAACTTTATCTCGAAAGCTATTTTTAGGAAAGAAGAAAAAGGTATTTCTTGATGAGGGACAATGAATAGAGATAAGGAAATTAGACTGAAAGTGTAGTTTTGACAACAACAACAAAAAAAAAAGAAGAACCGTTTATAGAAGATTCAATGATAGTGTAATTTTTGGCTAGCGTTATTAATTGTAACATTTTTATAACTCTCCATCTTTCAATGAATATAAATATAACGAAAAGAGACAAAATGAAACATGGGTAATTTATAAAAGTAGTCAGTAGAATGAAATATATCTATATTTGTTGTGTCATAACGC